TGGTCTCCTTTTTTAAAGAAAAACCCGATTTCTCTTGTCTACTAGAGAATTTATACCCCATTATTTAATTTAGATTTATGAAATATTCCCTATTCATGTTTGCATGCCCACTACTTGTGAAGGATCAAACTGTAAAATAACAAACTAAGTTAAGTAATATCTTATAGGTCACTGAAAAGCCTATCAAATATGAGGAAAAAACTGGAGAGATAACCAAAATTTTACTGGCAGTTGGGTTAGTGTTTTGCAATGAGGGGCACTTTTCCTCTTTTCTCTATTTATAATTTTGGAAATGTGATTATATTGCTTGAGTGATTTAAAGATGATCAATGCAGTGTGCTGAACAGAGAAGCAAGCTGCAAACCCTCATTGTAGGAGCAGTGGTTCCACTGCCTCCCTGGGCAACCATTTCCCCGTGTTCTCCCTGAGGCTCTGTTTAAAGCCAGTTCCGCTTTTTCCATTCACTGGCACTTCACAGCCTGAGGTTGCACCCCTGTCTTGAGAAAGCTTCCCACAGGCCACTCCTGTGTACCACAGAGTCGCTGCGACTTTAAGGCTTATTCACGGAATACTTGTTGGTGGCCAGATACTAATGAACTCAGGGAGGCCAAGGATGTTTCTCAGGTCATATTACAGCAGAGGAAATTGTGGTTCAGAACAGTGTTGTTATTGTTCTAAAAGACACAGCCTACTCATCTGTACCTGACCACAAAACCCATGCTTTTCGCTGCTATGGGACAGAGCAGTTCTTCAAAGCAGGTTATTGTGATGTTCTCTGCACCTAACATAGCCCCTGGCATAGAGCAGGTCCTTAACATTTGTTGAAGGAATGAATGCTAGAGTGTGTCAGTTTTTGAGCCTCTGTGCACTGCAGTTGCATACAAATAGGTTCATGGGAACAAGTACTACCATGCCTTGCATGTCTGACCCATCCTAGGTGTGTCTGCTTTTCCCCACTCATCTCCACTTTGGTTTAATGAGGAGGCATTGCCTTATAGCACTCTACAGATGAGAGATAGAAGTTTAAAAACTTGAGTACTTTGGCCTCACCCGTAACACAGTAATACAGTGTTCTAGGAAAAGGTGGATACTTTTTGGTATCACCATATCCAACATTTGTACCTGAGCATCTTATTTGCAGAAAGACAAAAGACAAAGGGAAAGTGCTCTCCAAGCCATGGACTTAGCAGAAGGAAAAGATTTCAGGATCCCTTTAGTATTTACTTTCTCAAGTGCTTGCTACATTTGCGAGAAAGGAGAACTGAAAGCTTAAATTCCCTACAGACACTGCAGATGGGTCATCACCAGAGAGGACAAAGCTCACCTGCAGTTGTGATTGCTGGGAAACAGATTCTTAGGCACTCTCTATGTTCATGGCTGTTAGTTAAGGCTCTTGGTATCCTTATGTCTTGGTCACTTTGTGGCTAGACAAAAACATCCACAAATTAAAGAGACATAAGTTTATTTGGGTTTGCGTTTTAGTCCATGATCAGCTGACCTCAGTGCATAGAGGTGTGGAGGCAGAGAGCTGCTCAGCAACAGTGATCAGGAAGCAGAGGCTCTGAGGAGGAGCAGGGACAGGAAATACAACCTTGCTGGTGGCACCACAGTGAAGGCCTCTTCTAGTCAGGCCTCACCTCCTACCAGTAAGTCAGCTCTAAGCCCCTGTAATGAAGTCAGCTTTCCAATTCCCACCTAGGGTTACAAGAGGATTTACAGGAACTTCTAGTTATAAATCATAACATTGCATCATTGAAAGTCTTCATGCACTTTGACCAGGAAGTAAATTTTTAAGAGACCACATGTGCCTTTGTGTGTGTGTGTGTGTGTGTATGCGTGTGTGCGTGCATGTGTGTGTGTTATTCTGGGCCAAACTCAGGACCTTGCACTAGGCAAATGCTGTATTAATGAGCTCCATCAACAGCCCTAGAATCCTAGACATGTCAAATATATCCTGTCACAACATATTTATTGTAGCAAAAACTGTAGTAATGAAGATGTGGAGAACCTATGTGCTCACCAATAAGTATCTGGTTAAGGAAACTGTAGAATAGTGGACTTATTTAAAAGAATTAGATAAAGCAGCACATGCTCATGTGGAGTGTCTTCAGCATGTATCATCATGTGGAGAAATTCAGGTGCCCCAAAGGACATGCTTTATGCAATAAGTTTATTAAATAATAAAATTCTGTCTCTCTGTGTGTATGCACAAGGGCGACTTGCTCATTAACATTAGAGGGATTGGGAGTTGGAGAAACATTATTTATATCTACCTGACTTTCATTTCATGTTTATTTATCATATCATGTCAAAAACAAACATCCTTCCTAAAGGGATGTTGTGGGGGACAAGCCCCAGATATTTTCTTCTAAAACAAGAAAGAGAAAACATGGCTTATGACATGGAACTGGTTCTTAACCTTATTCTTCGACATGAAAAACACACAGGATAACAGGGTGGGAGAAGGCAGGGACACAGCTGTGGCACAGGAAAACAAAACCCAGGCAGAACCAACATTTCTCACTGTGTGCACACTTGCAGTTTAGTGCCGACAACGCGAGAAAACCCTGCGCTTCACTTCAAAGAAGGGGCAGAAAAGTGGATGGCAGAATGGTCATTTATTCCGTTTTCAATCAGCATTTGAGGACTTCAACTTGGGCTCTAGATACAAAGTGAAAGAGAAGCTTTGATAGTTGCTGCACTAGCCAGGAGCAAATTCCTGTGCTGAGGAAGAGGGAATCTTCTAGAAGAAATTCCAGATGGTTCTTTCCTGGGTTGAGTGGTTGGGTCCAGAATCTCCAAGATCTGTACCATTTCAGGAGTGCACAGCTTAGAGGCCTTCTCCATCTTTCTTCTGTGGACTACTGAGCACCCGCCCTGCCATCACTGGCCCAGGATTCCTCTCCTCTACACAGAAAATTTTGCTCTGCTCACTTCCTCCTGCCCTTCCTTGTCAGCCGCTTTCTTTCTAGTGAGGCATCCTACAGGCATTCACTTAGAGGTCTCACTTCATGAGACAATATTCTCCCCTGAGTCCCCAGAGTCTTCCAACCATGTCCTTACTCTGTTGGACAGACTACCTCTGCACACACACACACACACACACACACACACACACACACACACACAAAGGGCTTACTTGTGGACTCTCTGAGTAGGCTTGTCTCCTTTCTCCTTACACTGGTGCTGATAGCCAATCTTTCCAGTGACATCCAGGCTGCCCTTCCTCTTATTTCAGCTCTCAAGCCCACCCAGCTCTGTCTGATCTCTAGTCCAGGACGCCCCCGTGTTGAGTCTGTGGAACTTTTCTTCTCTGTCTGCCTGTAATCTCCATAGGATCCTTTCCCGCTCTTGGTCCTAAACTGTGTGCAAACACCTCCTGATACGCTGCCCGCAGCCCTGGTGCCTCACCTGAAGCACAGACGTTTAAGTCCTACTAGCTACTGGATGTGTCCTCTTGCAGGCATCTCAGACTCACTACATTGAAACAAAATCTCCATTCAGATTTCCCCAAAACCAAACCCACTTCGTTCCCAATTTTCCTATCTCTCTAACTAGCAATGCCGTCCTTCCTTTGATAAGTTACACAGACCCAAAGTTTGGGAGTCACTTTTCACTCCCCTTCTGCTAGCAAACTCAACACCCGATTCACCAGCAAATCCTGCAGCCTCTACTTTCAAAGTACATCAACAATTCTGCTTTTATTTTTTGCAGCCTTGGTCACTCCCCGTCTCCGCAAAGTAATAGGAATGGTCTGCACGTTCGCATCCCTGAGCTCCTCACTTCATTGCAGAGGTCTCCGTCTGCTTTGCTCTCTGCTCCGCCTGCAGAGCTCTCTGCTTTGCTCTTTGCTCCGTCTGCAGAGCTCTCTGTGTTGTATTGCACTGTATTCTCCATAGCAGAGGCAGATTGAAACTTGAGAGCATCATATTAGACTGAGACCTGAATGGGTTAAACATAAAGCACATTGTCCAAAAAACCCCAACATGTTTGCATCCTGTCCTATAGAGCCATGGTGATCTGGAACAGGATGCCTTCAGAAGCTTTCATTGTCTCCATGCTCTCTCTAGTCTAGGGACAGTGTCCTGCTTGCTGCTGGCACAGGTCAAGTAGCTTACAGGGTCCCCTGAACATGGGTTCTTCAGGGAGATGCACTTCACCTGTCTATCTACTCAGGAGTCCGCCAGGCATCAGAGTTAAATCTGCACTTCCCTCTGCCTGCAAATCAGTTGCCCTGTAGAAATCCTGTGGTCTGACCTGTCGTGTGACTCAGGTCTCTGGTGAAGTGTCACAGACATTCTGTTGGGAAACCACAGCCAGGGGCAAGACCTTGGATTCCTAAACTCTAACTCTAACCCTGTTCTGATTTCATTCCACAGTCCAAAGAGCTGCACTTCTTCTAGAGCTCTGGGAAACCTGAATAGTAACAAGTTAGAGACCACTAAGTATGGCCAGGCAGTGTGTTAAACCTCTGGGAAACATGAACCCAGAGGGTCCTGAAACCCTGCAAAGCCCATAGGGCATGAATCTCCACTTCACATTTGAAGGCAGATGTTAAATGTAACTAGGCTGGATCTCAACTCAGAGTTTTGCCACCCCAAGGATGCAGCTTCCAGGAGTCCAACTTAAGTTGGGCCAGTAGGGGTGGAGCAGGCACCTGCCGACACAGGGCGACCCTTCCTAGAGAGAAGGTACTGTGTGGATGCTGGCACAGAGCCCGCAGCTTTTCCAGCTTCCTGAGCAGTGGCTCAAGTGTAAACTTCAAAGCTGATGAGGCCAGAGTGCAGGGACAAGGCTGTAACTTCAGCATCTGGGAGGGCTCCAGGCAGTGCCTCCCTCCTCCCCCATGGAGAAGGGAGTCTGAGCCCCTCAATGTACTGGAAGTGACGGGCTGGAGGAAGGTGGTGTCTTTTAAGCTCTTTCAAGCCCTATTTGCTCAGTGTCCCACGGAAACTTTGAAAGGGGGGTGGGAAGGGAAACAAAGAAAAGCAACCCACAGGAAAGGGGGAGGTTCAAGGTGAGAGAGGACTGCGCTCTCCTCTCTTCCTGCCCAGCCTCCAGCTGCCTTGGCCTCCCTTGTCTTAGCCTGGCCAGCCACAAAGCCTTCTGCCTTAGGCTCATGGCTGTCTGTGGGATCCCTACGAAATGCTGTGCTGTGCTCTGCCTCCTGGTCTTGATCGCCATCCCAGTGATTGTGGTTGTAACTTTGAAGTGGGCACGGAATCCTGAGGCGTGGAATGGCCCTGGCAGCACCCGAGACTTTTTCAACATTGTCCTGCACCGGTGTATCCTGCACAAGTGGACTTTAGAACTGCTGTACCACAGGTGATCTGGGGTGGGCACAGCCTGTACCACTGGGTGTATATGTCCTGGTTCTGGTCCTGATCCCTTTCCTGGTCCAGGTCCTTGTCCCTGCCATGGTCATCCTTCTGGTCCCCCTGGAAGTTTAAGTTCTCTTCCTCGACCCAGTCACCATCCCAGTCCAGGTCCCCATCCCCATCCTGGTCACTGTCCTGGTCCCTATCTTGGTCCCCGTCCCTGCTCCAGTCCCTGTCCACATCCTTGTCCCCATCCGGTCCCAGCGTGGAAAGCGCATGGGGATGACTGTTCCAAGGACACCCTCTGCGAGCCTGTGGTGAGGCCACAGGGTGTGTGCAGGGCCCCAGCCCTGGAAGTCTTTAGGTTCATATACACAATACCCTCTGCTCTGCATCTTGTGCATCCCCAACTGCTCATAACCCATAGCTCTCTGAGGTATGGGATGCTGCCCCTCTGCAGGGAAACCCTCTTACCCCTACTCCTGCCCCCAGGGCTGGGTCTGCCTGGTGGAACTAAGCTTTAAAGATGTATAGAAAGTAGGCGAGGCTGGGAAAGCCTGCAGGGAGCTACAAGATGCATGGTGCTTAATGGTGCAAAACCCCTGGTCCCAGATGCCACAGCGCCCTGAGGACAAGACCAACTACTGCAGTCCATGCTCTGCTCAGCAGGTGGATCTGAAGCAGAGGCAGTGCTTGCAGACTGTTCAGTTCCAAGGGTCTCAGGGTCCCACTGAGAGTTTCGTTAACAGATAACTGGATGCTTAACTGAAAGAGAAACTAGACTTGGGGGCACTCTTTTGGGCTACACTCTGCCTTGCAGTATGAACTCCAACTTGAAAGGACTCTTAAAAAGCAGTCTTCAGAGAGGCTGAAGCAGGAGCTCACAAGCCCCAGCCTGGGTAACTTCACAACTAAGGGAAGTTTAATTTTTCAATTAAAGAGTAAAAGAGAAAAGAAAAAAAAAAGAAGAAGAAGAAAAAACAGAGGGAAGGGTAGCATAAGCAAAGGCAAAAAAGATCTTATTTTTGATTTCAACTGAATTTACAGAGTTAAGACTTTTTGGTTGTTTCATTGGTTTTGATAAACGGATACAGTCGTTTCCATGTGCAGAGCCATAGCAAGACAGATGCACCCAGTCACGGCACGGCTATCAGTGTCCTCCTGGGTGTGGACACAGTGTTAACCACAAGTGTGGACACACATCTTCACTTGTGCCTGTATGTTCAGCAAAATATTAACAGGCAAATATTTGTTTAATCATGATCCAGTTTCAGATTAACAGGGTATGGTCCCTTAACAGTTTTGCAGACATCTTTACAGATGTCTTATGCTGTCCACACCCACTCACCGACATTTGGAATGAATGATTACTAATAACACTGAGCTTCCTGCCATCTACTGAGCACTCAGAACCTTAAATCACTTAATCCTTTAACCACTAAATTGGTGGTTACCACTGATAACCCCAGTTGACAGAGAAGTCAATGGAGGGTTTGCATGAGCTGCCCAAAACTGGGCAATGCAAGAATGAGCTCTTAGCCACAAATTTATCGTCCTGTGTTCTATAGGCTGAGTGAGTTTGTGGGTCAGATCTGGAGACTTGAAATAGAGACATGAGTATCAAAAATCTGCAGTGAACAGGTTGTGATCAGAGCATGTGGCTGCCTTATCCTGGGGTGGCTTAAGCTGCTCTGCTCCGAGTCTCAGCATCCAGGTTCATAGCTTGGTGACCTCATAGTGTGACCTCGTGAGCGTCCCTAAGTTTACCTGTGCCCTGGTGCTCTCAACTGTAAATGGAAGTGTTTACCATAGCCTTCTCCTGTGTGGACCAATTGTGGTGAGTAGGAGGAGGAATCTTCTTTCCATAACCTGTCAGTGTCCTGTTTTGGAAATGTAGCACGCAGAGACCTTTCTGTACTAGTAAGTCCAGATCAAGGTCATTGCAGTGAATGGCTTGTGTCCACTGAGCAAATCAGCCCTTTAACAACAGCAATTATGGTGTCCTTTTTAAATGATCTTTTAAGCTTAATGCTTGATCAGGAATCTTTCATTTGTTACTTACTGACCCACTTTTTCCTTTCAGCATCTCTTAATAATTCCATTGGAGAAGATGGGACCGTTTTCAGCTTATGGATTAGTTTGTTTCCCTTTTTTTAAATCCCTCATTCTTTCAGCAAAATCCATGTTGAGGACCTATTGTGTTGCAGGCAGTGAACCAATAAAGTCACAGGAGAGTGTGATGAAGCACCCACTCTTATGCAGCTTTCTTTCTGCTGGTAGAGACCAGCCCTGAGAACATCTGTGTGTCTGTGCCTTTACATACCCATGGGGATGGTTCTGGAGGTCGAATTTCTAAGGCTGTTGTTGGGTCAACATTGTCACTTTAAATTTTAATTTTTCCCATTTCTGAAATTTCCAAATTCCCCTAAAATAGCTATCCCATTGCACACACTCACATCAATGTATCAGAGGATGTGTGTTCCAGTAATCTCTTCATTCTTGAATATTCTCAACTTGTTTAGTTATGAGAAAAGTGGCTTCCAATTTTACCCCAGAGAGCCTAAGCATCTTGTGTATTTTTATCAGCTGTTTATACTTTTTTGTGATGTTCTTGTTCAGACACTTGACAATTTCTATAGAGTTATACATCTACTTATTTTTGTGAGAGTTCTTCATATATTTTAGATAATGTCATCAAGCACATTATCTTATAACCCCTTCCCTGGAATTTCACTCTGGGACCATGTTTGATTGGCAGATTCCTGGATTTGATGATGACCTTGAGACTGTTTCTTATTTTGATAGTCTTTTACAGGAAAGCTGAGGACTGACAGTTTTCTTATTTTTTCTTTCTGTTTTCAGCAGTACTGGGGATTGAACCCAGGATTTCTACACTAAACTACACCCCAGCTTTTTTATGTTTTGGAGACCAGGTCTCACTCAGTTGCTAAGTTGCTCACTTTGGGAGCACTTGTGCTCCTCCTGCCTCGGTCTCCCAAAGTGTTGGGGATACTGGCATGTGCTTCCATGTCCGACTTTTATTTTACATTCCGCAAATTCCAACTTGGAATTTTGGTTTTCCCTTCTTTCTTCTTATACCTCAGCCTACAGAGCTAGCGAAAGGAATATGTCCTTTCAGCATTCTGCATGGAAGTCCTCTTAGCTGGACCTCCCAGCCCATGAGGAGCGTTTACACCTCCATTAGAGCAGGTGACTGTGTTACTACAGATCACGTGAGGTGGGCTGCTGCCCTGCCGCACTCCAGGCTGGTGGTCTGCTGCTCCCTCCAGCCTGCACTCACCATCTCCTGAGACTTCCCTTCTTCTGTCTGCCACCCAGTCTCAGTGATAATGTCACAGAGGGGTAGTCAGGGCCTCCAGAGGAAAAGAGACATAGTATGTGTATGGGGAGGGATGGGGCTTGGTTTATATCGCTTTGCAGGGAGGCAACTGGAAAATCCTGGCAGGCAGGAGACCCATGCAGAGTTGATGTTGCAGCTTGGGTCCTGGATCTCAGTTTTTTTCTGAAGGCCTTCCACTGATTAGAAGCAGCTCACCCAGAACACAGAAGACAATGTACACATCAGGTCTCTTGATTTAAGTGTGACTCTTGTCTAAAAAATATTTTCATGTCAACAGCCGGAAGTGGGTAGGCAGTGATTGGGTTCCTGGGACTCAACAAGGTGAGGATGAAGGTTCACTGTCATGCATTTGTTTAAGGTTTTTGTTGTGCAGTTCCTGCCTCCCAGATAACATTTTCTGCTTTTGCACAATGAACCAGTGCCCTGAAGTTTAGTGACTTAAAGCAGCCATCACTGATTGTCTTTCAGAAGTCTGCGGGGTGGCCCAGATCCACCAGCTACAGGTCACCTAGGCCTGTTGTCACCTGGGGAATGAACTTGGCCAGATAAACCATCTTCCCCCATCTTCTGCCCATCACTTCTGTGTCCAAGTTGAATGAGTTCTCTGGGTCCTTTATTTTCACATCACAGCTATTGATTCTCTTTCTGTTTTGCTTCTCCTTCCTCTTCAACATTCCCGGGCTATCTCAGAAGCCCATTCTTCAGTTTTACTTCCCCAAACCTTCTGTTTTGATGACACACATGATATGTGAAAGTCAACTCCGTGAAATTCATTTGTACACAAATGCACACAGACTCTGAGGGAGGATTTACTGCCCCTCTGGTGCCAGCACTCAGAATGGTGGGAGGAAAAGAAGCCACAGGTTTGGGTTGCTCTGGAGTGAGAGGCGCAGAGGACCAGCCCGAGAACCAAACGCTGCAAGACTGCATGATCTGCAGCTGTGTAGGGTCCACTGGTTTCCTGGAATCCTCAGGGATGTGTCAGACACACCCAGAGACCCACTGCATGTGGCAGAGTGTGTGGGCCAAGTGCCTGCATGGTACCACCTCGGTGCAGAAGGGGCATCACCTGCAGGCCTGGGGGAGTTAGGAGGTCTCCAGGAATGCAGTCTTGTCTGAAGCCTTCTTTGAGATCGGATTCATCAAGGCGGTGCTCTGAGGACCGTCTCCCTTTTGGAGACAAAAGGTTGAACACTTTATGCTTTCTAAAGGTGGAGGGAGCTTGGCGAGGATCCTACTGCTGACAGAGTACAGACCTCCTGTCTGTGACCTGGGTCTTCTCAGTACTCACAAGAGTAGGAGAGGAACCATTTCACACAGGACCGGACAGAACAGGGCAGGACAGGACAGGACAGGACAGGGTAGGGCAGGGCAGGGCAGGACAGGGCAGGAGGGGATCCCAGCAAGGTTTTACTTTGGAACCTTGGAGTGGCCCCCTGGTCCCAGCAGGATTCCTGTCAGCCTGCGGGCTTCCTCAGACCTATGGACAGAATTGTACCCTTCATGTCTTCTTAAATCATAGGGGATGATTTTCAAGCTTCCTCCACCCCACCTTTCCTTCAGAGGTCCTGGGACTAAAGCCGCAGCCAGACAGCTTTAATCCACCTGTCTGAAAGTGGAGCTTGGGGATGCTCTGGTTATGAAAGGGCGGTCAGCTCTCAACCTGAGTAATCTGTGGATGGGTGGAGTGAAATTCATGGGCCAATAAACTGATTTGGGCCCTGTGGGGCTTGGGGTGCTGCCAGGATGTCCAGGACAATGCAGCTGTGGTAGTAGAATCTTCTAGCAGGAAAGGCTGGTTGGAAGCCTGTGGAATGGGAAAGATGACTGAGCATCCCTAGAAAGGTTAGTGGTTCCCACTGTTGGACTCTTACCCACTGTTTTTATTCTGCACTAAAACCAACAGCCAAGGAAGGAGGCAGTGCGACAGTGAGAGCATTTTCAGTTCTCATCCCTCTGAGCAGTTAGGACTGTTCTGCCTCTCCCTTTCCTGTGTTTTTCTTGGTGCTGTTGTTGTTGACTTGTTTGTTTGTTTTTTGATACTGGGATTTGAACTTGTGACCTAGTGCTTGCCAGGCAGGCAAGCCTTCCCTCCCTGTCTTCCTCTCTTCCACTGGGCCGAGACACCCACCGCCCTCCTTGCCTTCCTTGCCTTGCTATACTCCAGCATCTGGACAGCAATTTTCAGAGAGGCTCTTTGTCTTGTGTCCTCCATTGCAGTTGACAGTGTGAGTGGAAAGGACAGGGGACAAGAGAAGGCAGTATTTCTGTTCACTTAGGCCAAGGTCATTTTTACTTTGTGTTCTCCAACTTCTAAACTCTTGAAAGTAGAAAAGTGGGCTCTGTGTCCCATCTTCTTCCAACTCTGCAGAAACACTTAAGACTAGGCAAAATTACGTTAGAGAAGCCCACATTTTGTTAAAGATGTAATGTGATTAGAGTTCCGCCCACAAGGCATGGGCAGGCAAGCCCTATGGGTAATAAGAGCAAGTGGAATATTTTACCTGTGGAGTGGGGATAAGAGGAGACAGTTCTGTTTGCTTCTTTGTTTTGAGGGGGAAACAAAAAAGTGTGGGCTGGGAAGCGACCTATATTTCAGTCACCAGTGAGTGGTAAAGAAAACATGGTGTTTATACCCACGGGAGCACTACTGTGCCACAGAGAGTGGCATACCCCAGTCATTCATAGGAAAATGGACTATCATAGGAAAAGAAGACAGTCTTGTTAAGTAAGATAAAGCAGACACATAAGATTAAACATTGTATGTTCTTTCCTTACACAAGAATTCCAGGGTGTAAATAAATTGAGGAGAAAACACAAAAGTTATAGAATAGGAAACAGGGAAATCAATCTTCTGCAAAAGAAAAGAGGATCCAGAGATGGAGGGAAGAGGGATGCAGAGCTTGAGGGGGGATGAAAAAAGAACTAGGATATGTTATGTACCCACAGTGAGTGCCATCAAGTGTAGCAGACATGTACCAATAAAAATGAAAACTAGGAAAGATTTTATGGTCTCATGAGGAAAAATTATTTCTCAAAGAGGGCTCAGTGATATTATAAATTACCTTGCCATTTCTCTGCTCCATTGTGTCCACTCCAGTGTCCCGGTCACCATCTGCTTTCCCCACGGTGCCTGGGTCAGTGGCTGTGGCAAGGAGCTAGCTATGAAAATAAATTTCATAACTATTCATAACCATATTCCTAACTGTATACCAGGGCAACCCTGGTAGAATCTAATGGCTGTGGTTCTAGTTATCGCAGTGATGGGACATTGGTGGTTATTGGCTAACCAGCCATAAGCAGGTGACCATAAGTAGGGAGGTGCTGGAGGCACAGGTCAAGAGCTCCTTCTGGATTGAAGAGTTCAGTAGAACCGTGGAATGACTAGTCATGTGTCGCCCCTCTGAACTTCCAGTGTCCTTCCCCTGTGAAATGAAAGCTTGGTTAGATCAGTGTCCTCACCGGCAGTTACCCAGTTAAGCTTACTGGAGAATTTCAAGTCCTACTGCCTGCCCACTCCCACGCTGAGGTGGCCACAGGCACTGTGATGTTTCTGAGGCTCTGTAGCTGGTCCCCCATTGGGGCCTGCATTGAGGATCTCCGGGTAGGACAGTGTCCAGCAGCACTGCAGCTCAGGTGGGAATCGACCTGGGCGCAGGTTGAGCTCCCAGCAGCATCTGCTGCATTGACAGCTGTTGCCAGCAGTCCCCTCCTAAGCAGCAGCCTTGAGCTCTCAGGACTGGGCCTACCATTTTGTAACAGAGCGGGCTTGGAAGAAAACTGTGATACTGACCTTGCAGGAGTGCCTCTCTGCCATGTGCTCGGAATGAGAAAGGTCTGCTCCCATCTCTGTCCACCGAAGGCCTAGCTCTTTTCTGTTTCAAGGTGTTTAAGTCAGTGAAAAGGCTGATGTGCTTGTGCAGAGGGAAGTGTTTATTCCGTGGGTGCAGGAAAGCTTCACAAAGCCTTCCTCCACACTTCACAGCACTTCCCGTTTTGGTCTTCACATGGGGTACTTGGGAGGCTGCGATCCTAGACTGCATGAAGGACTCGGAACCAAGTTACAGACTCTTGCAATGCTTTGGATTCTACTCCTTCTAAGGAAGAAACTCTCTTAATTTTCTTTTCTCTTACATTTTTAGCTTGAAATTTCGTGAACTCTTCTTAAGATAATCTTTCTTAAAAAAGTGTTTATGTACCTAAGAGGCATAAAAATAATTTGGAGGTGTGTGAGGTTTTGATGAAGTCTACCTCCAGCACCACAAACAACTATAAATTCTTGGTGCGTAGTAGAGTAAGAGCTCAGTAAATACTAGCTAATTTTACATTTTTTTCTTTTTTGGTACCAGGGATCAAACTCAAAACCTTGTGCTTGCAAGGCAGGCACCTATGCCACTGAGCCAAACCCCTGGCCCCATTGTGACAGTGTTTTATTATGCAGTTCAGGCTAGCCTTAAATTCACTGTGTAGCTTAAGCTGGCCTGGAAGGCAAGGCCAATCCTCTTGCCTCCGCCTCCTGAGTGCTGGATTTACAGGCACACATAACAACACTCAACTCAATATTTTAAATATCCATCTCTGTTTAATTTTATTTTCCACATTTTACCGCACAGACGTGAAACCTGCCTCAAAATACGGGATGCATTCAAAAATGCTTTTATATCAAAGAATCCCTGCAGTGTTACAAAAGAAGACTATGAACCATTAGTTCGCTTGGTCAAACAAACAGTGCCCTGCAACAAAGTAAGTGGTCAAGGTCTTACGCCTGAAACTGGGTAGAAAAGCCAGTGGGAAGAGGACAGGGGACAGGTTTTGAGTGGGATCAGGGAAGATGGAAATATAAATATTATAACTTGGGAGTGGGCATTAGCGAGAAAGTTGTTGGGGCCACGAAGAAATGAGGATATCATCAGGGTTTGAGACCTGTCGGGAGGAAAGGTAAGGTTGAACCAGGGGGAGAATAAAGGAGAATTGGCCCCAAATCGAGGGAAGCACACCTAACACCACCCCCCTGCACACAGAGAAGCAAGAGCAGCCTGACTTCATTTACAGGAGAACTTTGCCCTGGGCCTCCGAACAGAAGGAAATGAACAGAAACTAAGTCAACTCGCATTTGCAGCCCCGCCCTTAGCGTACTCTCCTGCTAGTTTCTAAGGCAGCAGGGCTGTGCTGTGAGACAGATGAGCCCTTGTGAACACTCCTGTGTCACCAGCGAGAAAGTGGCATTCAGGTGGCCGGTGACTGTCCAAGTGTGGCAGGCTGGAAACGTACTCAGAACAAGACCTGGAGACATAGAAGCTTGGGTTCAGATGGACTGGTTATGCAGGGAAGGGCACAGCATGGAGAGCAGCTTCTCCAGAGTCGCCCAATTTCCTGAGTGTCCAGGACTGTTCCTGTGAAGCCCTTAAGCCCATTCACAAAGGCATCATGGCCTCTCTTCCTGTGCCTCTGTGAGTTGGAGTCATCAGGACACCAAACATGCTTCCCTGTGCAGAGAGCTTGGCAAATAGCAACTCTGCCTGTATGGTGCCTTGTGATCTACTCACAGGAACTCACTGAGCCTGCCCAGCTGCCTGGGTGTCCCTGCCAGCTCTCAGGTACAAAGGTGAGGCTCCACAGTACTTTGGTCAAACAGCTGAAAAGTGGTGGCACTGGGTGACATCCACAAGGGGCGGGACCTCGGGGCCCATGCTGTGAGCCACACCCTCTGCCTCATGGATAGACAGATTCAGGAGGCAGGGTCTCCTGCAATGCCACTGGCTGTTCCTTTCAGGGAGAGACGGAACCCCCCCCCCCCGCCTTGTGTGCATGTTAGGGACATTTGGGTAAAGGTAGAAAGGACTATGGAGCTTTTTAAGAAACAAAGAGCAAATCTCCCAGGAAACAGCACATAGGCAAAACTTTGCACAGATAACTGAACTGGAGGAACATTGGAGCTCCCTAACGCCTCCTCCAGTGCAGCGTTAATTGTAAGGTTTTGTTCAGTGGCTTCTAAGGTTTCTTGACTACAACCCAGAATAATAAATGCATTTTCCATTATGACCTAGAATGTGCACATGTGCGTGCACACATGCACGAGAGCACACACACACACACACACACACACACACACACACGTTCTGTCTTCCTCACTGCTTCTCATAGAATGCACTTAGCTCAGATCAGTCTTTACCTTTGCTGTGTGTGATGTTCTCTGACAGCATGGCTGCCTTCTCTGACTGAAGTTGCATTGCTCTTCCCCAGAGCCTGTTCTGGAGCAAGGCGAAGGAGCTGGCGCATTGCTTTGCCAAGGTGCGTGGGATGTTTATGCTGGAGGACACACTGCTGGGCCACATGGCCGACGACCTCAACTGGTGTGGAAACAGCAGCTCTGCTGGTGAGGACCTGGGTGTTCAGGGAAGGAGCCTTGCCAAGGGGTCCCCAAGAGGCATGTGTGGTGAGAGAGCCCTGGGCTGCCATCCTGACACCAGCTGTGTCCAGTGGGAGGCGTGCGCCCTAGCAAACCCCTAACCTGCTGGGGAGTCTGGGATCACCCTGGCCTGATTCCCTCCATTCTGAGGGCTTCAGATTCTTAGGCTTTTGCCCCATATTGTGGATGTCATTCAGGACCAAAGAATTCATGAGGCCTCCAGACCAATGTCGTGTCCCATGGAAGCCACGGCAGCCACAGGAGCCCCCAGTGGTGGCTTTGCCATGGACACCTTGTGGCTTGTCTAACACAGGAAGACCCAGAGCACCTCCCTCAGAAAGGTGTTCGCCCTCCACGAAACCACCCAGAGCCTGACTTTGCTTTTCTCTCTCTCTTTTATTTTTATATGGGGAGTATTTTTATTTATGTTATTTTTAGTGTTTTTTGATTAGTGCAAATGTTTGTCTTATTTTCTTTCTTTCTTTCCTTCTTTTTAATTTGCTATGGTGTCTTGATATGTAGTTCAGGCTGGCCTTGAACTCACTATGTAGCTTTTAGTTATTTCTCTCTTGTTGCTGGAACAAAATACCTGACATACAAAGTTAAAGAGGGAAAGGTATATTTAGCTCACAGGTTGTGGAGATTTCAGTCCATAATCAGCAGGCTCCAAGGCAGGCTGGCATGACTAAGGGGCAACAGCTCCTGGCAGCAGAATGCAGCAAAAGCAACAAAAACAGAAGTGCGGGGACAACAAGCCTTTCCCCCCTCCTCTTACACAAGCTGAGCATGTTTACTAAGCGAGGCCCCTGACCCTCTGCTGAGCCACTTGGTTAAACTGCTGAACTTCTCAAGTTGACAGAATATATCAACCCTCACAGTGGCCAGGCTAGCTTCTGATTCATTGCAATCCTCCTGCCTCAGCCTTCTAGTGCTGGGATCACAGGCTTATGCCACTACACTTAGCTTTATATTTTTCATTATTTCCTGTGATAAACATGAACCCTGATTATTTCAAAAAAAATCTTACATATTACAGAAATGCATAAAATAAAAGGAATATGCAGCAAACATGTGCTAGTAAAAACAAAAATTAAAAAAAGTGATCACCTTGAAACATACCACTGCTGACCTCTATATCACTGTGAAAACAATAGCTTTTCAACAATTCAGTACATCTCTTTCCAGAACGGATGGTTATGGAAGTATATATATTTAAAATGTGTACTTACAGCTTTGCAACATGCTTATTAATTATTAGATATAGAGATAACCATATTCTTTAAAAGGCTTTGTTATGGATTAAGAACTGGTGGTCAACTTAACACCAGCTGGATTACATAAGCATGGCATTGAGTGAAGATGTTCCACCTGAGGAAAGTTGCCAGGATAAATAGGTGGAGAAGAAGGGAACTGTTGGAAGGTTGAGGCGTTAAGGAGGCATTATGGGTTCTTTTATGTGTTGCTGTCTGAGCTGTTGGTTCTCCTGGAGAAGCCTTGGTCCTCACATTGAGCATTGCTTCCTGGCTCCGGAGGGGAAGACATGTGCTGCTTAGTTTCCAGGATGAACTTGTCACGCTGCTTCCTGGCATATACCTGACTGTGCTTGTTGTTGGAGGAGCTGGGGGCCTCCATGTAACTGAGGACAGCTGTGGTGCCTCTCAGGACAGCCCTGGTCTTTGTTGTGAGTGTGACTTCTTGGTTCCAGCATAGTACGCTCATTCCACTAGCACAGCTCCTTCATCCTGCTGGCATAGACTTTCTGGCTTCCACCGCTGACCCTTGGGTTTTCCCGGCACGGATCCATAAAAGAGACTGGTGTGAGTCCTTCTTGTGGGCTCTGGACCTCCAGCTGGACTCGTGGGAGGCATTGTCTTGAGCTCTGGGTTTTTATCTGGATTCATGTGGGACATTGCAGGGGTGTTTAGGCTCTTGAATAAATAATCTACGTCTTTGGTGTTGCGGATAGATTTCCTGCATTTTCCTGTGTTAACTTCCTGTGTTAACCATTATAAAATACTATAAACTCCATATCCTAATCCTAGTTGTTTTCTGTGTACAACCCCTGACTACAACAGGCTTCATATTTAAACAATCTTATTGCTAGGCATTTAGGTTGTTTTAGTTTTTATTGATATAGACTACTGTTGCAAGAAACACTTTTGTGTGCACACACATACACACACACACACACAAATATACACCACTGAATGCTGAAAGTATATTGAAAGAGAAATTTTTTTAATGGAATTTCAGTGTTTAAGGGTACATTGTGATGGAAACTGCTGTACTTTCATTTAAAAGGTGGTAGCAATTTACACTCTGATCAAGACTATCTATGGGCTTATTTGCATTGATCTGGCAAAGTAACCAGGGCAGGACATCTATGGAAGAAAAGAGATGGATCCCGGTCACAGTTCCAGGGGTGAAGTTGAGTGACTGTGCCTGCTCAGGGCCCATGTCACCTCACAGCATGGTGGACAGTGCTGCACAGTGGTGAGTGTGCCAGCAGGAGAACTCAGCCACACGGTAGAGGGGAAGGAAGGGAGAGAGCCCAGAAAGCAGACTCGGTTCCTAACAACCCGCTTTCCTGGGAACCAGTTCAGTCCCTTGAGCCCTCATTCAGCCTAGAGGGAGCTAATCCAATATGGCAAGAAAAACAGTTTACTAAGGGCGACACTCCTGGCCCCACTGCCTCGACACAGCTATACTGGGGAGTTAATCTTTAGCGCAGGGTTTGGTGGGGGGGGGGAACCACATTTAAATCCTACTGCTGCTTGACAGTGGTAAGCTGGGGGTGCGCTGTTCATAGGTTCTGCCCTATCATCATCTCTTCTGTTCGTCCTCCATTTGTCCCTCCTTCTCTCTGTCTCTATCTCTGTCTTTCTCACCCCTTCTCTTTCTTCCTTCGGGAAATAGCCACCTTGGCTATTGATTATTTCATTCTATGCCACATAGTTCTGGGACATAGTTTAAGAAATTTGGATCAATTTTCCTCTTTCCCTTTCTCTCTCTCTCTTTCGTTCGTTCTTTTCTTTTTTTATTGTTTTGAGACAGAGTTGCACTATGCAGTTCCGGCTGGCCTTGAACTCACTTGGTGGCCCTGGCTGGCCTCGAACTCACAGTGATCTCCTTCCTCAGCCTCTCTAGAGTGTGCATTCTTTTCTTCTTTTTAAAATTGATTTTAAGCTGAAAGTGCGTGTATTTAAGGTATATAGGGTGAAGTTTTGATGCACATGTACATAGTGAACTGCTTATTGCACTTAAGCTAATAGCAGTGACTTCTTCTGGTAGTCACCATTTTTATGGTGATATTTTTCCTTTTATAGTCAGTCATTCACCAACCTAAACTGTTTGCCCAGTAATTAATCTTTTCTACCCATTACTGCTGCTTGAGTCCCCTCCTTTCTTGCAAGGACTATCATAGTATTCTTACTGATCACCTTTACCTCTTTAGGTCACACTCCCTCTAATGATAATGGTGATTTTCTTAAGATGAAGCTGTGATTGTAAGCAGTTCCCCCTAAAACCTAGAATGTCTCCTTTGCCTGAAGTGTAATGTCTAAATTCCTTGGGCTGCTCACTAAAATCATTAGAGGTAGAGTGCAAAGAGGTATGGCAGGGAAGAACTGTGCATGGCATGGAGGCTGGAACAGAGAGAGGGAGAGAGAGAGAGAGAGAGAGAGAGAGAGAGAGAGAGAGAGAGAGAGACACAAAGGGGAGAGGGAGGAAAATAGAACTTCCTGGTCCTCCTCCCCAGTCACCCACTTCCTCACACAAGATCTTACCCAGAATGGCATTGAGCTAAACTCATCAGTGGGCTAATCCACCAATGAGTGCCTCTCCTCCATAATCCAGTCACCTCCCTGGGCCCCTCCATGAGTACATGAGGCTTTGGGGGAGCATCTAGGTCTAAATGTTAACAATGCCCTTGAAGGAAGAGACACAGAATCCATTTTGATGCTCTGTATTTGCCCTCCATTGAGGGCTAAGCCTCTCTTGCTGGACACCAGTGTAGTAAGCCGCAAAGGTCACCTGAGCACAAGGAGGTCAGAACTTACAGAGTCAGGGAGGAAACTCTCCAGAGAGAGCTGTGAATGAGGAGAGAAGTGTTCTTGCCGGTTTTACCCCTGAGTCTTCCTGGACTCAGGAATAAGGGTAGGGGCTTATCTCGGTTGGGTGAACTCTTGCTGCCATTTCCAAGAATGATGACTCAAACTTACTGCTGTGTTGTAGCCTGGGATCTGGAGGGAAGGTAAGGATTTGGAAGAGATTCGGGGCACAGTAGTTAAATTGCACTGAGACTTGTCCCTTCCTGGTCTCTATCTTGGCAATGATGCTGTTGGAAAATGATGCCATTGTGATAGACAATCCAGGGAAGAATGGGGCTTCTGATAGCTCTTTGGTACTTTCATTATTTTCTATCAACTATGTCTTTTAGAATTGAACTATGAAAATTGCCCACGCTGGAGTGATTGCAAAGATACAGCTGTCTCAGCGTTCTGGAAGGCGATTTCCCAAAACGTAAGCAACAAAGAATACAGTTCTAGACTGGTGAGACATAGACCTTGAAGATGATACCCAGTAAATGGATCACAGAACTCTTTAGATATGAGAAGACTGTAAGATTCTTTCCTGAGTGAAATGTTTGGAAGAACATGCAGGCAGATTTTCACATCCGGTACTATGGTGCTTGTAAAGGGTTGATAGGCTCCAGTTGCAAAATCAAGGCTCTTACCTGTTACTTTGGCTGTGGCTGCCAGGAAGTTAGGTCAGCTTCAGTCCTTTGATACAGGATGATTAGATTCATTGAATAGCGTTATGAGTCTACATTGATAAGTTATTTACTGTGTGCCTAGTTCTTTACATAAATGGAAAGTTTTCATCCCCACAAGAATGCTATGAAGTAAGGCTTGTGGATATCATGTAACATAATCAGTCTAAAATATGCCCACCTAGATCTGGGAATTTATTCCCACTTATCTAACTCAGAACCAGAATCTGAGAGAAAATTGCCACCCCCTTCAAATATTATCTGTCTTCACTTGAAACTACCAGTGTATATTTATTTCCCTTTTAATTTGCTTCTTTGGAAATGATCAAAGGAAAACTGCTTTGTAAGTGGATTGGGAGGGGGAGGCATAAAAAGATTTAAGAAAAAAATGAAAAGAAGTAAAAGAAGAAAAAGTAAAAAACACGAAGTACAAGGTTTTAAATAGATAACTGAGGGGGCAGGTAGGGCAAGTACAATATTATGTATGTTAGTGATTATCATTCAGCCCATTTGTGCTGCTATAATAAAATATCTGGGCACAGGTGATACATAGATTCCTCATAATCCGCAGACAGGGAAGTCCCAGCAGGCTGGATGAGTAGTGAAGGCTGCCCTCTGGTTCCAAGACGGTGCCTGCTGCTCTGCCCTCACATGGCAGAAGGCAGGAGGGTAAAAATGCCCAGCTGGACATTAAAATAAGGACACTAGTCCTATTCGTATGAGCAGAACACTCATGGCCTAATCCCTTCCTAAGGCCCCATCTTACTCATGCTGTCACAATGGGTCTTAGCTTCTGGCTTGCAGACGGGGGCAGGTAGGAAGATGAATGCACGGCATGGCTAAACTGTGCATCACATTTGATGCATTTCCTGTGTGACAAGCCAAGAGGCGCCTTCTCTAAGTCACTCCCATGTATTCCTCCCAAATGGCAGTGTAAGAAGGAACAAATTCACACAGTAACAGTGAAGAAACCAGGATTCTTAGGTTAAATGACTCAACCAAGGTTGGGCTAGTAAGGAGCAAATCTGAAAGAGCCAAACTTTTATCTGTTCTAAAGCAGTGCTCTTTGATTTTGTTTATGGAATTCTGTTTATTTGCTTTGTCTTTTAAATGGAAGGTTTGATTTTCTTTAACTCCCTTTTGGTACCAAACTAAAGTACCTCAAGGAGATTCAGGAAAAGGTGAGAAGAGCAGATAGCCTGGGAGTTGAAACTGTGGTCGATTCAGCTGAGTATGGTGGTGTAAGCCTGTAATCTCAGCATTTTGGGAGGCTGAGACAGGAGGATTACAGGTGTGAGCCCAGCCTGGGCTATTTAGGATTTAGAAAGACTGTCTAAAAACAAGAAAAAGATTTGTAAAAACTGGGGATGTAGGTTGATGCAAATTCCCTGTGTTCAACTGACTGTATGACAAATAATAACAACCTCTTCCTCAGAAACAATAACTTGCTCACATTACATTGCCCTCCACTCACTGCGGCCTCAGCCTATGCTTGCTGCAAGTGTGTTCTTCCTTTGGGATGTGGCCTTTGTGCCTTCCAAGGTTTTCGCCTGCTCTTTCCTGGTCTCTACCACAGGTTCTCTGACACCTTGCTTACTCTTGACCTACTCTCTTTCCTCCATTTTTTCCTTCCTTTGATTTCTATTGGTCAGTCAATCATGCCATATATGAAGGACATGCCACTCAGGGCTGTGAAGGTGAGCAGGAAAACTGGGCTCTCAGTTCTCATGAAACTGTTACTACTGATAGCCAAAGTGCATTAGCTTATCATTACAATTCTGTACAGTTAATAATGTTAAGGAGACATGGGAGGTTGTTAGGATTCAGAGAAGGTAGCCTAAGTGTGCTCCAGGAGTACCACAACTCCATGCAGAGGGTTCAGGTCTCCCACCTGGCAACATGGCACACAGATGCAAAAGACAAAGGGAGAATGCTCTTCAGCTGAATGGATCTGGGCTGACCAATATTCTCTGTAAAACAAAAGGCTACAACTCCAATAGCTCATGGCTTTTATTGGTATCAGTCAGGGAGGTGAGTGGAGGTGGAGGCAGATGGGTAGGGAAGAGAAACTTTGAAAGCATTGGCTATAATGAGAAGCACAATTTTGTACCAGGCACAAAGGCCTCCAATTCTCAATGTGACAGAAAGGAAGGTATAATTCTTTTGTGAGTCCCAGAACCTCAGCTGAGCTGTCAACTCATGGCTTGACCCTAGAATCTCAGAGGTTCTTGCTGGAGCCCCCATTCCAGTTTTCAGCAGGGTGCACAATTCTCACCTGTCGGTTGTAATGAGACACATTGGCCTCTCTACCAGACTTGATCACATTCTTTTAGCCAGTTAAGAGAACATCTGGTGTAATACATTCATCTCTGCATATCTCAGTAGGTAGGGCTGAAGGAGGGATCAGGGAAAGATGGCGGCAAGGGGCTTTGTTTCCCAGGAGAGTGCAGCTGGGCAGTCTCCCACACAGCAGTCCTGGTGTGTCTCCTGGAGGAAACTCTAGATGGTTTTTCCTTGTTCATTTTGTTTCTTCCAGTGCTTAGCAAAGATTTCAGCTAAATGTTGCATGAGGAAATAAAACTCCTTGCTCGACTGTATTCACTCACTCATTCATCTACTTTCCTTTTCTCTTAGTGCCTGCTCAGGCTTCATGGTCACCTTCTCTCACCCGTCTCCATTTCCATAATGTTCCCATTTCCTATATGCTAAATTGTCCATTTTGTTATCTGCTAAATTAAATTCAGTGTCTCCTGTGCATGGTGCTAGGAAAGTACTTTCAATTTCCTCCTTTAAAGACATTTGTCCCTTGGACTTCCTTCTCTGAATGTGGCAACCCTGTGAACAATGCCACTGAACTTAATTGTTGGAACACTTATAGACTGGAGGAACTGCTTCAAAAACTCTGATATTTTCAAGCATAATTGCTCCAGTGCTTTGGAATACAGCTCTTTAGACCTGGCATTCCTGTGCCAATTCCCTAGGGGATGTTACTTCCTGAGTCAGATAATCCTAAGAATCATTGTAGAAGCATCTTCTGGGGAATGGTGACTAGGATAACTTACTGAGGAATGGTGAGCATTTCTTTCTTTTAAGTTTGCAGAGTCTGCCTGTGGTGAGGTCCACGTGGTGCTCAACGGGTCCTTAAATGAACCATTCAGTAAAAAAAGGTACTTATTTCTTTCAGTCCCTATTTGCAAGTGCTTTGATATTTCCCTGTTAAGTATTTCATCCCTAGAGAAAATATATACTTTTCATATTTCACATCAATAATATAGATATGGGATATAAAGGCAAAAAAAAGTTTTATAAAGTTTGTCTTTCTGGGTCAGTGCTTTTATGTTTTCTCCTTTATCTTTATCTAAAATCCTCTAATTCTCCTAATGGCTGTGACACTGTTTGCAGGTATTACTCTTGGCTTCTGTATTAGGGCTCTCAGAGGAACAGAATCAATATACAGTACAAGTACAGTTATACCAAGGATTGATTAGGTAGGCTTACAGGCTCAAGAGGTGAAGAGTCCTAGTGGTCATCGGTGGTGGAAAACTCCAGAATGGCCGTCCATGTGCTGCAGAGACAGAGGAGCCAGTGAAGCCCTGGAAGCTCACCTCAGGGTTACTGGTGTATGGCTGTGTTTGAAAGTTTCAAGGTCTATGTTGGAAGGCTGAAGAACGTGGGCTGAAAGCTTTAAAGAAGTGGAAAACTATGTCCGGAGGAGACAGCGAAGACTGGAGCTCTGCCAGAGGAAAAGGGGAGACTTCTTTCCTTTTTTTTATTCCACCCAGTCTACAAGCCTCCTGGCTGATGCCATCCTCACCAGGAGCCAGCTTCCCTTCCTTGGTTTATGGTCTGCATGTCATCCAGCCGCAGACATCTCCAAGCCTTTCCTAATCTGCTGTGTGGGCCTACTCAGGTCAAGTAGACACATCACAATGAACGGTCACAACTGCAGACTTGGTGTAATTTTCTCAGCTTTCTCTTTTGTTACACTGACACATCCATCCTCCACCTGAGTTCATGCTGCTCTCCCAACCCCCACCACCATTCTTTCCATCCAGGAATAACTGTCCTGCCTCCTGTATCTTCAACGAAGTTTGTATCCCAGTTAAGCAGTAAGATTACTACTTCAAACATCAGGAATGTGCTAGGCGCTTCACCTTCTTCATCTTTGTGCAGGTATTTCAGCGAGGCGGAATCCCAGGTTCTTAGAAGGCTGAGTCAGAATGATTTCACGATGGAGCCGAGCTTGTGCTACTTTGTGAGAACTTGTCTAAAAAAAAAAAAAAAGGAAAAAAGAGAAGAGGGAAGGGCGGGGAGTGGTCCAGTGTGAAGGCCCTGGGTTCAACTTCCAGTACTGGAAAAAAAATGTCTCCAGATATCTTTACATATGATCTGTATTGTGTTAGACATTGCTAACTCTAAACCCCAGCATATGAACCAGAAGAGGTAATTGTGATACAGATTCACTGAGATGATGTTAGTGAAAAGTGCTGAGCTCTGCCTGACACAGACACCATTCAGTGAGGGTCAGTGATTCATCTCTCATTTAATCCTCGTCATGGAACCAGCCGCACTGTTTCCTTCATTCTCTGAGCTCCTCTTCTAGCTACAGTTTTTATCACATTGATTGCTTGTGGTCCTTTTTATCTAACTTTTTCCTGATAGGGTTGATTGGCTGAGAGATGGAGATATATTGGTTTTGTTCTGGGTCCTGTACGTGCCCTCTCTGCTTCGTGAATTTAATATTTAATCCACAAAGAAATGTTTGCCCTTATGGCATCTACTGACCATCTCCTGTGGGCTTTTTAGAGAAACCTAACATTCAAGGATTTTATACTCAGATATTAGGATTTATGTTCTTGAGACAGGAGGGACACAGCTGTCAGAAATGAGTGGGAGTTTAGAAATGGGGTCAGAGAAGATTATACGCTTCTAGGAGTTTGCTGAGTATGGAAATCACCTGGGGGCAGTTCTGGCCCCAACTAACTCAGCGGGTGGTGAAGGGCTGAGACTTTTTGGTTCTGACTACCTTGCTGGCGATCTTCATCTACTGATCTGTGGATCTCTCTGAGTATTAGTCAGCTTTTTGTTGCTGTGACCAACAGCAAATGAAAGAAAGGTTCATATTAGCTCATAATTCCAAAGGTTTCCTTCCATGGTGCGCTGGCTCCAAGGCAGAGGCATTGTGATGGGAGGATGATGCACAGGAAAGCAGCTCAACCCACAGCAGTCAAGAAGGAGAGTGAGACAGAGTGAAAAAGTTGGAGAAGAATGAGGCGTGAATCTGATACAGTTCCAAGCTTGCAGTCCTATGACTCACCCGCATACACCCAGAAGTGTGTCTTACAGATCTCCAAGGCATCGCTCATGCCAGTCAACTTGACAATCAAGATGAAACCTCACAAGTAGCAAATATTTTAAAAACTCGATGTGCAGATTAAAAATCTTATCTTGAAATTCTTTAATAATTCAGGATTGTGTTGAGAGGGAATAAGTGGCAGTCTAAGGTAAATGGGTCAATTCCAAAGGGTGGGTCTGACCAAGGAGACTAGCCTCACCTGCTGGTCTTTGACAAGAGGCATAGTTTCCCATAAACGTCTCTGTCTCTTCTATTTTAGCATTTTTGGAAGTGTGGAAGTTGTTCATTTGGATGCCAAGAAAGTCCTTGAGTTACATGCCTTGGTGATTCATCAACCATCAAAATACAGGTAAATCTTATTCCTGAGGACCCGGGAAACTTTTTAGGAGTTAGCCCACAAAACAATGCATGCTCAGAAGACATTGGGAGCATATTCACAGAACAGACTCTGGCTCAGGAGATGAATAGTGTTTTACATTGAGCTCACTCCAGGAACCTCTTAATTTTATCTCCAAAATGGGCATCTAGTTAGCTCTCACCTTCCTCTGCCTCCTGACTCAAAAGCTCTGAAGAGTTGACTTGTGCTCCATCTTTTAATCCCAGGGCTTTGCCTAGGGCCTCCTCTGATGAAGAATCTAAGGAAGACATTTGTGACATATTGCTATTTTGACATCTTCTTTCTTCCCCAGGGAGTTATGCTCAAGTTCCTCCCTCCAACAACTGAAGTCAATTGTGGAGGCACGGAAAATTAAATTTCTCTGCAGGGATATTACAGGTAATAGCTTTCTTTGTGAAGAAACAGCTAAGTTGCCCTTTGTACACATCTGACCTCTCCTGATCTCTGGGCTGGGCTCCCTCTTGGGCCTCAGTGGTGATCTCTGTCCCTCTGCCAAGCCTGGCTCAGAAGGTTTTCCTAGCCAGGGGACTTTAGCTGGGCACCTTCTCCCTGTCACACTCGCCCCAATGCCAACCCCCAGCATAGACCCTCTCCTGAATCTGACCTGGCCTTTAAGGGCCTGTCTGCTGGTTTCCAGAGAGAGCGGCCATGCCAAGGGCTAGTGTATTTTCTGGATTTCAGGGGAGCAGAGGTGTGTTTGGCCAAGACTGATCTCCCACCTGAGGAAACCCTTGCAATTTGGCATACGCAGGCCTCTTTACTGGGCTCTGGGTGTAGATGCCGAATGCTTGGTAAGCTGCTATGCTGCAGTCTACTAAGGTTTGCCTTTTTAAATAACAAAGAGGAAAAATTTTAAAGAAAATGTTTAAAATTACAGACAGGTACAGTATGTTTTACCTGTAACTCTGTTTTCAAAGCCAGAAACTCTTCTGTTTTTCCTCTTTACTTCTTTCTTGGTTTCATTCTCCCTGTTTGTCTGTCTCCCATTTTCTTTCTTTCTTCCATGTTACATATTGAACCCAGCGCTCCATTCACCTTTAAGTTTTTCTGGCCGAGAATATAGGTGGGGACACATGGCTAGGAGCGTCTTTGGAGCTTCCTCTGTGTATAGTGACTGAGAACAAAACTACTATATGAAGAAAAATTTTTGGAAGCAGAACTGCTAGGTGTCTTTTCTGTATTCTCACCCCATGAGCCATATTATGGCAGAAAGAGAGGTGCAAGGATCTCTCACTAATGACACTTGTTTTCCAAATGCTCCAACACTCAGCTGGCTGTTGCTTGGCAACTGCCAGAAAATCACACTCACAACCTGCAGCCATTAGATGGGAAGGCAGAATGAGCCAGGAAGGAACTGTAGAGGAGGCTGTCAGTGTGAGTTACCCCAAGACATTTTTCTTGGAGGATACAGAGTACTCAAAGTCCAGCAGAAGACTGGAGAGTGAAGGGTCTCCCTCACTGAGTCTTCTTTTTCCTGCATTAAACATTAAGGGCCAGAAACTTTTAAATTAAACCCCACTGACCACCTTCACTGATGCTCAGGTGAACTCGTTCACTCTCTGTCTGGGAAGAACACAGAAGCACAGGGGCCTGGACAGACAGTGGCTCCTTCCCAAGGCGACATTTGGCATTCAGAGGACCAGAAATTGTGGCCTTAGTTATGGGGATCTGTTAAAATCACTGCTTGTTTTCTCCGACCAAGAGGACTGTTATATTTGGTGTGACTCTTTGGGCCTCTGTGGTGACATGAAGTGATGATCTGTAGGGCCCCTTGTGAGTTGTGCTGCTTTTGGGGACAGGCATTTGTCTCTAGGGAGCCCAAAGTGAATGTTACAGATTGTAGTCTGGTAATTTCAATCTCTCTATCCCAAATCTCCACCCTACTTGAAAACTTTCATCTGGCTGCCTAGGTATGAGCATTCAATGAACAAACAGAAGTGTAATTACATATACATAGATTAGATTTCCTAGTGATACTGATGCTGCCCCTTAAGAAATCCTACTCCCCTGAGAAACACTAATGACATTTGGCATTGTGTCCTTTAGGAACTTTCCTATCTTTCCTTACATACGCTCCTGATAAAATACATACAAATTTTATTGATATAAGTGTTAAACAGGGAATGAATAGCCGGAACAATTTGGGGGGGTTCCCCATAAAAACAGCAAAGATCAGTGTGTTGGTGTCCACTAGTGGGATACAAAAAAAAAAAAGACACCAAAAACAGCACTAAATATCTCTCTTAAGGGGTGCACTAATTCTTCTGTTACTTTAAAATATACCCTGGGTCTATCCCTCAAAATATACCCAACATGTGAGAGGTGCATCTATTTTCTTAGAACATTGGATGTGAATGTTTACATATCAATGGAGAGAGAGCATCTTAACAATATAATGGCTGCTTCTTTTCCATAATGAAATTCCCAATAGGTCAGAAACTGTTATAAAAAAACATCATATTCTCTTCATTTAATGTGAGGCCAAAAAAGCTTCAAAAGTCCTAAATGGCCAGAAAAGCTCCTTCTCCATGGGAGGGAGAGTTCCTTAAGGAAGAGACGCTCTCTCTGCCTGGAATGGAGTCATATGCGGAGTCCCACTGACCATACTGGTGGGATGGTGAGACTTTGCCCTTACAGCTAAGGAGTCCAACGCGTCAAGACAATTGGCTTCAAGTGAGCTCAAATTTCCTATGAAGTCAACATTTAACCTAACCCCTGAATTTGACTGACTTGTCCTCCAACTCAGTTTGTGACCAGAATCATGGAAAGAATCAAGTTCATGAAGTGAGGTTTTAATGTAGAAAGAGTCTGCCAAAGAACTGTATACTTCAGGGAAAAGAAAAACTTGTATAAATATTTTAATATTAAATTTATTGAAACATCGTGAGACTAATACAAGTTACCCTTGGCCTCTACAGTTACAAGAGGTGCTCAGAGTGGAGGCCATTAGTTTCCAGATATTGAGTAATTTTGTGAATCGCTGAAGAATTGCATACTTTTAGCGAGACTGTGCATATGGACAGATGTAAGTTTCTCATGTATGAGAAACAATACAGTACTGCAGCTTGTGTCTGACTTCACTTAACTTTCTGTTATCAAGTTGCATCCATTTGCCTACAAATTCCTCAAATTTATCTTTCTTTATGGCAGAGTAGTATTGCGCTGTATGTAAATACAACATATTCTTTACCCTTTCATCTGTTAATGGGCACACACACCCTGTTTCCAAGAACTGGTTACCATCAATGGTGCTGCCTAAGCCTGGTTATTTATGCAGCATGGCGACTCTAAGTTTGGGGGAGGCATCCAGAAAGGGGACACCTGGATCAAATGAAATTACTATTTTTAATTGTCTGAGGAATCTTTACACTGATCCTAGTGGTGATGATAGTTTCCACCCCCACCAACATGTATAAGACTTCGTTTTTCCTCACGTCCTTTCCAGCACTGGTTTAACTTGATGTTTTGGTGACAGCCATTTTTTCTGGGGTAAAATGGCATCTCATTGCAGTTTTAATTTGCATTTCTCTAATGGCCCTGATGTTGAACTTTTTTTCATGTGCTTATTGGTCATTTGTACTTCTTGGACAGATATCTATTCATTTAAGTTGCCCAACTTTTTATTGAGCCTTTTGTTTTTTTGGTAGAGGTCTAGTTTTTTTTTTTTTAAAGTTCTTTATGTATTCTTGATAATTAAAATCCTAAAATCTAAATGAATCAAAGATCTATGCGTTGAGGCAGAAACAATCTGCTGAGAGATAAAATAGATAAAACACTTGAAATCATGGGCATAGGCAAAATCTTCCTGAACAGAATCCCAGTGGCACAAGAAATAATCCCAAGAATTAACCAATAGTGTCACATCAAATTAAAAAGCATCTTTACCATCGCCAACAAAGTGAGGAGTGGGAATGGGGAAAGTGTCAGCCATGTGTGTGTCTGCGCGGAAAGGGCTTAGCTCGCTGGTGAGTAGCAGCATAAACGTGTTGTCCCACTTCTTGATCTCTTCTTTTTGCTCCCCTCTCCTAGACCTGACATGTTCATTACATGCATGAAAAATCGTAATTATCTGTCTGGTGGTACGGAAGACTCAGCAACAGCCCAGGGAGAACTGCTGGCCTGGGGGAGCCCTCAGGCAGAAAGGTCAACACCAGAGACTGAAGCTCTACCCCTCATCGTACTGAGATAACTTATGTTGTCAGCATAGCTTTTTCTTGTGTTCTGCTACTATTCAACAAAAAAAAATTGTACAAAATATGTTGGTATTTTTAAACTTTCATGTTTTGCTTTTATGTGCTTTATATGTAGGTAACTTCTTTTTGGCCATGCTAGGAACTAAATCAGGGTCCCATGTGGGCCACTGCTGTGCCGCTCAGCTACACCCCACTCTAGCTAGGAGCATCCTTTCTGTTAAAAAATGACTACACCAAACCTCTCTGATTAACACAGGAAGATAGGAAAATAAAATGTGTAAACTTTTCAGAAGACAGTAGAATCTAAACAACCAACTTTATCTCATGGTCTATTTTTGTGCCCTTCCTAGCCCAAAAGTCACACATTTAATATCAAGGTAGGAGGTGGATTGGAACTGAGCTCTGTCTAGCTCCAAAATCTCTCTTCTAGGCAGAGAACACCAAGCTGACAGCATGTTATGTTCTCCAACAAATGTGTGCTGGGTGAAACTAAGCACAGTATATTCTAGAATGTGATTTTTACAGATGGCACCAAAAAATTCATTTTTTCCTCCTCATGTTCAACGTGTTACACAGTCAGCTGTTAAAATAATATATATTGATTACAGGTTGTCTCGTGGTGCAATACTGTGTTGCCTACATTGTTCTCTTCTGATCTGCTTTGTTATGTCCTCTTTTGTCTTAATCTCTTTAAAATAAAAAAATATATTTGATCTTGATACTGCCCATTTACATTTTATTCCTCTTTTTTCTTGATATTTATTCACTTTATCAGTTTTTAAAAGAGCCAACATTTAGCTTGGTTGATTTATTTTATACTTGGTTTTTGCTCTTTATTTTAGTAGTATAAAAATTTCTTCTAATTCCTGTGTGTCCTCACTCAGTTTCTTGACATAGAAGCTCAGAATTGAATTTTGAGCCTGTTTTCTTCCTTTATACACACTTTTGTGGACTATAAATTTTACTCTGAGCCCTATGCTAGCTGTAGTTTTTAGATTTCAATGTCTTTTTTCACTATCATTCTGTTAGAAGTATTTTCTGATTTCATTGTTATGAAGAAGACGTACATTACTTGAGTTTTACTATTTTTTGGGAAATAGACATGTTGAATGAGAGTTAATAAATGAATTCAAGTCTTCCTCTAAGAATTTTCTTGGTTTGTTGAAAATGGCGTGAGCAGGGGGCTCAAATATTTCTAGATTTATAGTTTGGCACCTCTCTGTGATTCTGAGCCAAATACCTAACTTCTCTGAACTTCAGTTTCTTTTTCACTCAAAGATTATTAACTTATCCCCATCAAAATGTGGTGATGTTTCTGTTATGTGAGAAATGCAAACTATATGATAAAGAGTAAAATGAAAGAAAGATAATAGGAAACAGGAACATGGATTTGCAAATGAGAAAAGAATCGAAAGACGAAGGAAAGGCGGGAGAAGGGAAAGAGACAAAAATAGATGAAAAGCCAGATGTGTTGGTGCACTCCTGTAATTCCAACCCTTGGGAGGCTGATGCAGGGGGATCATTGCATGTTGGAGACCAGCTTGTGCTACAAAGTGAGTCCAAGGGCAGCCTTAAGTGCATAGTGAAATCCTGCCTCAAAAAGATGAAAAAATAAAAAGAAAGAAAGAAAGAAACCAAAAATAGATTTGAAATGTGTTATGTGCATGTACCAACTTTGCACAACAAAGGAAATCAGTGTGTCTTGTGAACATGTACTAATAAAAATTAAAGAAAATGGAAAATGAAATCCACCACACAAACACACAAACAGACTCAGTTAAGTGGACAAATTCAGAGACAGTGGAAACCCTAGAGGACACTGGTCCTAAGGTTTTCTTTCGTCCTTCTTCTCTTCCTTCTCTTCTTCATTTTGGTACCAGGAATGGATCTGAGGACCTTGAACTTGCCAGGTAGTTGCTGTTCCTCTGAGCTGTATCTTTGGCCTCTAAGGTTTTCAGCTGATGCTACAGGGGCCCCCAAGGAGCCAAGGAAGTGACTGGAGGCCTGGAGGCTCTTTTCCCCATGCACCTCCTTGTGTGTCTTTGCTACTGTGATGCTTTGTCCCCGCCTCCTTCCTTTCCGCACTTCCAACCTGGAGTGTTGCTGCCATTGGCCACACAGCCATCCATCTCCAGCCCTAGGGACCTGCTACCCATGAACAGCACCTGCGGTCCTCTTCTCGCTGGTGACTGCTGCATTTCTGGTTGTTCACATACTTCCCACTTCACCCACAAACTCGCTGCCCTCATCTCCCCTCTCTGTTCTTCTTTGCTCTAGAAAGTTCTCTTTCCATCCCTGCTCCCACACACCATCCTTTTAACCTAAGGTTAGAAATGACTCCAGCCTAATGTCACCTTTCACACTTCCTAAGAATCATGTTCTTCCCCTTATTGTGACTCTTGAAAGTATCATGTTTGAAGCACATTTGCAAATACAGTTGTGAAATGTTAGACTTGAATACTTGAAATGATATACATACATACATCAGGAATGTGTGTGCGTCTAAATGTGTGTGTATGATTTCTTGTTACAAAAACAACAGCAAAAATATCCAGTGCCTGACACTGAAGTATTCAGCAATGTTCTGTAACTCACAAAGCTGTCAAATGTGTTGGTGAAACTCAGTGAGGCTTTGTCTCAGGCAGGATCTGGGCCTTTCTTAATGTTTAAAACAAGCCCAACCCAGCCCTGCACACTTTCTGATTTCAAGGACACAATGTTCGAAATACTACATTTTCCCATGTTGAAAACTATCACTAAAAGAGGTCATTTCATAGCAGAAAAAGAGGCATCTTTCAGCTTGCTAAAAAATGACTCTGATTCTTTCTTCTTGCAGTATTGCAGGGATAGTTCTGGGGTGATCTATGTCATGTTGAATGGTTCAGAGACGAAGGAGCCTATCCTGTCAAACGGTAAGCACTTCAGCACCAGTGAAAACAGTAGAGGGTTAAAAAATATTTATTCATAAATAAATGGTGTGAGTGGAAGCTAAAGAGAAGTAGCCTAGTCCCCAGTGGAATGCTTGCCTTTGTAAATTCAGGTTTATAGTTGAAGGATTGCAGCCTTGTCTATACAGTTAAACCATGAGCAGCTGATGAATATGTGAATAACAAAACCTAAAAATAAAAATCAAGGGACCCTACCAGATGCCAGTCTTGGGCTGAGGCTGTTGGAGGACTTCAGCTGCACCTTTATGCCTCAGGTCCCCATCTGTCACCCAGCCTCCTGCACCTACGTCCCCAGGGGACCTAGTCACACCCTGGAGGTGACTCCTCAGATTCAAAGTGACGACCAAATAACCTCTTCCCAGAAAGGTCCCAGAGAGTTTCCACGGAGTGAAACAGAGCTCACAGTTATGGCAGAGCGCAGTGGACCTAGGATGGATGCAACAGAAAGCCTTGCTCATGCTTTGGAGCCAAGGACGCAGATCTTACATGGTGTGACTGGCTCAAGGCAGGGTGAGGAAAAGCTAAAGCACCAACAGCTAGAGTCTGACGCCGGGAAACAGAAATGACCACCACCACGGGACAGGTGTGCACGGTGCGGCCTAGTACCTCAAGGGAGTCTGGCAGCCAGTGCTGCCCCACTGGAATCCACAGTGGCCAACCCCAGGGCCAACACGTGTTCCCTAAACATGAAAGGTGACCTGGAACAGGCGATAGACCAACCCAAACAAGCCCAAAAGGAACCCGGAAGCTTCTGTTTGATTCCTAAGTCAGTCATGTGCCCTGGTCAGGACTTCTGACAGTCATACTTGGAGAAAACTGGGGAGGGACACACCAAGGCTCAGGCTTTCTGAGGAAAGAATACATACACTCACGTACTGTCCAGCGTGTAGTGGCTCCTGTAACCTTACCAGATGAGCCTGTGTTTCTGCTCTTTTCTTTTCCCCTCCCCTTGCTTCAGAGGCCTGAGGATGATTCTGAAGAAGAGGCCAACTTTGAAAATTTCCCCTTCTGAAACATGTAGACACTGGAGGAATGTTTCTGTTTGAAGAAAATGGAGGAACAGGAGTCTTGAGTCTGTGTCATGCTGTGTCTTCAGCCAATTTGGAAGATTGAAAACTAAAGATATCCAATCATGAACTGAGCATGTGGAGTCCCAGTTCAATGTCAAGATGGGGTATGCATTGTTCTTAACTGAGCGCAGTAACTTAGGGACACCATGTATCAGCTTCGCCACTGAGACTGTGGACCTTGTGAGCACTGTTGTGTTTCTGGGTTGGATCTCAAATGAGGGGAATTTTACCTTCAAAGGGTTTATTTGATAGGAAGCCCTTTATTAGTCATGACAGAAGTGACAGATGTTGGTGCTACAGCAGGTGTATTTAACCAGTTAGCTCAGAGCACTGTGATACTTAATGGTGCCTGAATCAATGTGGTTTAATCAATGGTTTGTGCTTCGAATGGTTGCAGAAGCGAGGCAATCTGAACTAGGGATGACACAGGAGTGAAGGAATGCTGCCACATTTCAGGCTTACCTGTTGAAGCAGGGTGGATGTTCATTTCACAGCTGGGTTGTGTGAGGGCCGCAGTGAGGAGACCGCTGCATTATTTTAGGAGGCCCCCAGTCCATCCCACTGACACCTGTTAACAGCATCGTCTTTGGTGATACTGGGGATGGGCCCCTTCACTGGATTTGGGCTTCTCACACTAACACTTCTGATATTAATTAAATGTGCCTTGAAAAAAAAAGTTAGGAAACAATCCCTTTTGAAAAACAGTTTGCAAATCAATTAAAAATGAAAAGAGAAAGAATCATTTTGGTACAGAACCGTGATGACGAACCTTTTGGAGACCCAGTGCCAGTACTGCAACCCCCTGCTCACTCACTGGTCACAGAGTCAGCATTGCAATGAGGCCTGAATATCTGATGCTTGACTGCTGGGGTGATTTGGTTCCCGTGGTGACAGAGAGGGCGCGGGTGCCATAGCCTCTCCACCGCTGCTTAGAACTGTGAGCAATGTTCTTCCAGGCTGGGGCCTAGGGGTGCACTGCAAAGGGGAAAACAAAAACGACTCCCTTTGTCTCTCAGTTTTTTTCCAGATTTTGAATTTTGTACCTGTAGATGGATAAAGTCACACAAATTGAAGTCTGGGTCATGCATGATATTGAGGGACTAATGTGTAAATTTTGGCGCTATCTGTGAGGATAATCATGTTTTCTTGAATATGGTACAGTTAAGTCCACTTTCCACTCTCAGTTTGGGGGAAATGCCAGTCTTCTGTTTCTGGTAGGGTTGGTTGAGAGGGTCGCAGTTCTAGATTTCTGGGAATGCCACTGTTCAGTTTTGATCCCAGAGGGAAAACCTCCTTTATCCTGCCAGGGAGCACAAGGTTTGTTTCTGAATGACCTGGTCAGCTTTGGATAGGCAAGTTCCTTATGCTTATGTGAGGTTTGGAGCCAGTTCATCTTTCTGGTCATTATAAACCCAAAAGCTCTCATCAGGGTCTTTAGAATCAGCCCAAGGACTCCGTGATGAAGGTTTTATTCTCACAGAATAACCAACTCCACCACTGTGTCTCAGATAACCTTGGGAAGAAAGTTTTAAGACTCGTATCGTATTTTTCTGGGAAACTTGTTGAGTTTATATATAAGTGCAAACTGAACTGGTATGTCGCACCCATAAAGACATTTCAGGCACAAATGCAAGACCCGATAAGTTAAATCCTTTTGGTTCAGAAACATTCAATGAGACCACGGCCTGAAGCGTCCGAAGT